AGAGAGAGAGAGAGAGAGAGAGAAAGAGAAGCATCGCCCATACGTCAACCATATATGAAGCAGCCATGCACACAACGATCGACCCAATCACTCACGGAAAACCACCGACGTCCGTTCCTCTTTCGTCGCTCATGGCCGTCGTCCTCCCTCTGTGGGCATCGCTCGGCTACTCTCCACATGCGCCAACTTCAAAACCCATGGCAGTGTATCTTCCCATGTTCTAGCAGAAGATTGACTCCCATTTTGCAGTTTTGCGWGGCCCTGTAGCTGTATTGGAACAGGTGGTCTAACTCGCCACCGTGCCAACAATAACAGCGGGACTGCCGCACCCTCCGATCACCGACGATGTACTCAATTGGTGAACTTGCTCGCACGAAAAACAAAAAAACGGCACCTTGTGACTCCAAAGCACCTCCACCGTGGCGCGCCAGCCTTCGAACTTGCGCGCGACCGAAAAAACAAAAAAAACAAAAAGCGATTTCTGCGGGGTGCACCAGCCTTCGAACTCGCACGGGACCGAGCAAAGAAAACAACAAAAAGCGATTTCTGTGAGTTTCCCTTGGGCCCGCGCCTTGTTCCCAGACGTTTTCCCAACGCAGGGAGCATGGGCTCGCGGGAGCGTCACGCGAGAACCGATGTTCCCTTTATAAAGAGTATAAAAAAAAAAAAAGTGGAAAGACTGGCACATCTCGGACGCAGACCAGGTCAGCAGCATTGGACAACTGCAGAGAGATTTAGATCAAGCACTTTTCCAGCCCATCCAAGACTTGGAGGAATGTCAAAGACCACCTCTGCAGAACAGCAACATGCAACCTACTGATGGTTGAATCAATAACCATGTCAAAGACAACTGGACGAAGAAACCCTTTGACCGCATTACCATTTGGTGCCAACTATGGCAAGCTATCACTGCTATGCTCTCCGCGTCGCATAGTGGATTAGACCACGAAGAGCAGAGACACCAATTTTGTCACGCACAAATTTTGGGTCAAGGCATAATGGCCCAGCAACATAAACTGGGTCTCGACTCTCAAGTGCAGGAATAACGTCGCAGTAGAGTGGGGATAATGGACACGTAAGCTCCAAATAAGACATTGAAATCCCATGGGCCACATTCCCAACCCCTCACGAA